GGTCCGCGCCAAAAGTGACACGACATTCAAACAATTATGTTCGTGCCAAGGGGCGTTACACTCTCGCTCAAGGCGCTGTGATGCATTCATCACTGTCACTCAGGCTGCCGCTCAAGCGGCGCCGGACGTGTCCACTTGTCCAGCTGCCAATCTGTTCCAGTCGGTTCTCCAGTCTTTCTGTGCAGAATACAGTATCCACTAAACTGGCGTCCAACACCCCTTTCCATTCGGAACCGGGCCTAAGGGTTGTAGTGGCTAGGATCACCCTATGGCTTTAGCTGTCGCAGCAAGATCTCTGGCCGCATTATTCTCAATCGTCTCAACGACGATATGGAACATGGACTTCTCCTGGGAAGCCAGGGTGGCCGCCGACGACATCGCTAGACCACTGACATTATCTTCACCGTCAGCCAACTATTGGAGAAGTGCTCGAAAATGTGGATCAGCCTTCACACTACCTTCGTGAACCTGACGAAGACCTTCGACACAGTGAATCGCGATGGCCTCTGGAGAATCATGCAGAAATCCGTATGTCCTGGGTACTTTGTGGAAGTGAAGTATAGTCGACAACCAGAAGGTTCCGTAATCAGAAGTCAGGGAAGACAGATTGGTTGGACATGCTTTACTAAAATGAGAGAGCGTACGAAGGCTCTGCGAACAGTCGCTACAAGCTGTCGCTGGCTTGTCTGCTGTGTTGTCTGCACCTCTTTTCCGTGTAAAGTCACGTCCGCAATGGCGACGTCCCTTGTTTGTGCACTTGTTGTACTCACCCACTGACCAATCAGCGGAGAAGCTGCGTTAATTGGCTTAAATACCACGCGAGATTAATGACAGGCGTCGTATGGTGCAGATACTGAATCGACCAGGTGCGTGATGCGGACAGAAGGACAGCGACACAAGTCGACGACCAAGATTGCGGACAGCCACAGTACCCCCCGGCTGGACCGAAGGTGACATGTAGCGATGCCGAAGGAAGCATTAAAGTCGATGAAACATGAATAATCAGACGGTCAGGGGAGTGAACATGACGTCCACTGCGGGTGACATGCTGGAGGCACAGAAGAATGAGAGTGTGCAGCGGGTGGAGTACTGTAGGCCGATGGTAAAGTCTCAGTTGATGGTGGTGGTCATGGTGGAAGAGGGAATAGCGGGAGGGCGGTATGGAAGGTCGAAAAGGTGGAGCAGGGGATAGGGAACCAAAAGGCTCATCCGGAGGAGTTTCCGGGACAACAGCTTTGAAGCGGTCAACGTCCACGACCTCCTCGCGACTTCTGAATTGAATGCGGAACGTCTTCGTCCTTCGATGGACAACCCGGAAGGTGCTGTCGTACAGCGGTTCCAGTGGTCGGCGGACTCGATTACATCAGAGCTAGACGTGAGAGCATGTCGTCAAGCCTTTCTCAAGACAAGACTCGGAGACGGATGGCCGCGGTGGAACCGGGGAGGGGGTACGCATAAACTGTCGGAGACGGTGTAGGAGTTTGGTAAGATCCTCGACCGTGCCTGGAGGAGTCCGCGAGATCATCTCACCAGGAAGTCGGACAGTGGTACCGAGCACGAGTTCAGCGGCGGAACAGCCAAGGTCTGACTTGAGAGAGAAGCGAATACCCAACATGACCAGGGGAGGATGATCCATTCAATTCTCCGGGTCCTCTGAAGCGCGTAGGGAGGTTTTCAACTGGCAGTGAAAACGCTCAACCATCCCGTTGACAGCAGGGTGACAGGCTGTAGTGCGAATGTGAGTGCAGCCCAAAAAGGAGAGAAGAGACTGGAAGAGTTGAGATTCGAACTGGACACCGCATTCAGTCGTAATGGTGGAGGGAACACCGAAGACGGCAACCCAATGACTGAGGAAAGCCTTGACGGCTGTTGAAGCAGCGACATCAGGCAGAGGGATGGCCTACGGCCCCAGAGTAAAACGATCCATACAAGTACGGAGGTAGGAACAGCCGTTGGACAGAGGCAGGGGACCTACGATGTCCAGGTGGACGTGATTGAACCTGGAGTCAGAGCTGGGGAACGTGCCTACGGGGGCCTTTTTGTGCCACAGGACCTTGCTGCGCCGAAAATCGAGACACGCCCGTGTACAAGCATTAAGGTCCTTGCGCATCCCAGGCCAAACGAAGCGATCGGAAATTAGCTTGTCCATAGCTCGACTCCCAGGGTGAGAAAAGTTGTGCAGGGAGGAGAAGACTTTGCGGCAAAAGGATGGCGGCATAAAAGGGCGGCGGGACGCAGTGGAGACATCACATAAAATGGTGCCGTTGCCAGTTGTCAGTGGCAGGTCCTGGAGATGGAGTCCAGAAACATCCTCGTCAAAGGGAGAACCAGTACGGCGTTGTTCCACTGACATCTCAGCGAGGTCGATCCCGGGAGACAGCTGAGGGTGATCGATGGAGGATCTGGACAAAGCGTCAGTTGCCATCATTCGTGAGTTACTTGCATGCACTTAATATGCTACTGTATATACAACAATGAAGTTTTACACTTTCAACACTGCAGTTTTTGTGTTTGGACGACAGTGAGCCTATTTCACTGACGTATTCGTCCAACTCAGCACTCACTGAAATGCACTGTGCCCGGAATGTCCTCTCCTCTACTACCAACGTGCCAACTCACCGGCACAAGTTGATCAGACCACGTCAGCACACCCATGGTCGATGCCTCAACTGCACCTCTCTACAGGTCACACGCGGTCTGAACTACTCTTGTCGGCATCGACACACGCTCTCAAACCCGCATGTGCACTGGATAAATTCATCCATTTCATCGTCTGTCTCGCGATCGACACCACCACTTCGTCCTATGTCTGAGGGGATCTGTTGCGGACAGCCACAAATTCACACACATGATGCGCCAGTTTCACTGCGGAATGATGACGCGCGTCCGAAACAGTGGGGGCAGTCCACGACCTGTTCTTTGCGAACGACTGCGCGCCCAACGATGCGACAGGACCGGATATGCAGCGGAGCATGAGTCTCTTCGCCTCCAGCTGCGCCAACTGCAGGCTGACCATCAGCACAGGTAGAACGATGGCCATGCAACATCCGTCGCCCAAACCATTCATCTATTTAGGCGGATAGACAGAGAGAGAGAGAGAGAAGAAGAAGAAGAAGAAGAAGAAGAAGAAGAAGAAGAAGAAGAAGAAGAAGAAATGCACTTTATTGTGGAAGTATCTCCCAAAATGTTCAACAAAAACGCCTCTCTTTTATAGTGGATAAATATGGGTATACAAAAAGAATAACACCGGAGAATTACGACTGCAACCGCTGGCAACACTGACAATCATCAGTGAGCTCGGTGGGGAATTTGCACCAGATTGTATTCCCTTCGAAACGGTGCTAGCGTAAAGTGCACATGACCTCATAATCGTAGTTCAAGCAAAGAAGGCGGATATCAATCAGTAAACTGGGCCAACTGATGGACAATTAAGAGAACTGTAACGTGAATAGAGAGCAGAAAAAACATAGCAATTCAAATTCGAAAGTACCAAAGTCGACGACGGCGTTGTGCACCGGATATCAGAGCCAACCAGAACTTCGACCGGCTGCAGACCGCCATTTAGATTAGTCACAGTTTCCATCTCAATACCAAACGCAAGATGCACAAAGCTGACATTTTGAGAACGCTGTTGTAAGCAACGGAAAGCCGGACAATACGCGATAAATAGGCATAGGGAGAATACTGAAGGTGAGGTGGCAGGACAGGATCCCGGACACAGAAGTCCTCGAATAAATCGGAATCCTCGACATCCACGCCAGACTGAAGCAGCTGCAACTGTGTTGGAGCGGCCCCCTCGCAAGGATGGGTGACGAGCATCTATCCAAGCGACTCTTCCAAGGCGATTTCGCCACGGGCGCTCACCGGCAAAGCGAACAAAAACGACACTACAAGGACACTTTAGGGTAAGGGGATACCATACTAACAGCACAGGTACTGGCCAAAAGCCCATACACGCTGCGCCATGCAGCGGCAGAATATCGGCGAAACACATGTTTATGGGCTTTTGGCTAGTACGTGTGCTGTTAGTATGGTATCACTTTACCCTAAGGTATACTACTAGCTGCTTGTCAGCAGTTACTGAATATTACGTGATTACCCGCTGTGGCTGATGGACTTCGGCCCAAATATTCATACATAACATTATCGGTCTTAGCTTATAGACCTTGAATAAACTGATCTACTCCAAATTCTGAATGACACCGTCCATCCCCTTCATAATGAGTTAATGGCTGCGAAATCCTTACGCCCCATGCGTCGATGCTTCCCCCACATCCCTTGTCGCACTTCGGCTTATCAGAATTCCATACTGCCATTTCTAGCCCGGTATCTCACCTGCAAAGATGCTGAAAAACAAAAGCTAAAACTCGATCTTGCACCTTAGAGTCCTTTTTTCTTCATATATAATTATGTCCACCTGTCCAATACCTGTTAATCTCTATGGTAATCACTGTGTACAGGAGAACCGTTTTTGCTGAAAGTTTTGAATGTTATTTTCAAAATAAAGCATTCCTCTCTCTTTCTCAAGTTCGTAGATAATTTCCGATGAAGTTAAAAAACGACAACTACAAGGACACCCCGACAACCACTCTCAGTTATCAGCAGCCATGAGAACCTCAACCAGGATTGACCGTCCTACAGGAGGGCAGTGCAGACTGCAGCAGCAATCTACGTAACCAGCCGGACCACCGCTGCCAAGACCAAGAAATCGGCTCGCCATTCTCATTCGCCTCCGACCCACAACACAGAACCCAGTCCCTCCATAATGTCCGCAGCGTCAACGGAAATTACGCGCACGCATCAGTCTCGTTGGACACCTTCGGGCCCAATACAACAACAACACGATAACTCCACTGACGTCCTCCACAAACGCCCCCATCGTCTATCCATGTGACAACCCACACGCGCCCACGATCACGACCAGCGAACGCACTCCCGGCGCCCTGCCGCCTCTCGTCACTACCTCCGCCATAACTGCCGTAACCCCTACGACGACTATGATTACCACTTACATCGGCAGTTCAACCGTCGTTACCTACGATGGCTACCATGTGCTCCACAGCATGATGAGAGCAAGAACGGTGACTTGCGCGTGAGGTAAAGTGATGGTAAACTTGTGATGCATTCAACGCACCACATCCTCCTCTACCTGGATAGGCTAACAAGACAGTCAAGAAGATTGGAGGCGGGAGAGGGTACAGGCGTCCTGCACGGGCAAAGCCCGCACCTGGGTGTATCACCACACCCCTCGGTCCACAATGGACACCTACCAGGGTTTTATACCACGACAAAGTGGAGGTGACACGATCCAAATTGGCACGGCGTAAGCCTGCAACTGGACATGGCAAAAGATCCCAATATTAGCACTCGTTATGGGTTCGCATTCACGATAACACCTACCGGACTCTGGTCTGGCCCCTATGTCGGTCTAGCGCATGTACCGCGTGGCCTGTTTCAGGGGTGTGTCGCTCTCACCGCCAGCAAGAGCACTCCGACTTACCGCCAACCACAAACATCACCAGCATCACCACCATTAGCAATGCGCACTCGATCTCAACCTGTCCATACTGCGATCACCCCTGCACATCACGCATCAGCCGGATCGGTCACTTGAGAATCCATCACACTGAGACTGGCTAACTAGTGCCTACGGCACCAACATACGCCCCTCACCCTCGCCTCAACTCCCCGCACTGTCCACACACATTCAGTCATCGCGAGGGCTTACTAGATCACCTTCGGCTTCATAAACCCCTCCCTCCCCGGCAAACCACGGCAGAATAAATCCCATCATCACACATTTCGCAACCAACACACAACATACAAACGCGTCCTACATCATCCACCACAAGGACGGAGTAGGCGCCTCTTACGCAACTGGGAAGCGTGTTATTTAACGTAACCTGGCGCCAAACCAAGTCATGTGTGTTACGCGCTGACGGTCTTTCGAAGCTCTGTCAGTCACTGGGCTAAATCCCAACACCAGATCGCTGAGAGGCTCGAACAGTGGACTGGTGCCTGGGAGAGGGAAGCGAGGGTGAGGTCGACTCACAGGAATCGGTCTCTACGACACCCGGCACATATTCCTCATTACAAACTATCTGACCCACTTCTAAATTATGACGGTGCCGTGTCTTGGAGTGCTGTCAGTTACAAAGATCAATAATTTCCCTCAGGACGTATATTTGGCCTGCGGTGTGTCCTCCTTTGTGCCCCCTCTATTAAACTCTCACGCATGCGCGTCCCGGGCTGCCCCCCTTCGCGTGAAGACCGCGTTCGGTGGGTTGAAAGATCGTGTGTGGCACGCGCAGACGCGCTCCTTAACTTTGTCAACCACTGCACCCGATCTGTCCTCCGATCTTCTTGCTCTGTCATGATACGGGGATCAGATGCGTGCAGGAGGGGGATTTTGCTGCAGATGTCGTACAAGTCTGTTGTCAGTATGATCTTCTTCACATCCAAGATCCCGTCCCTGAGTTCAGCATGTTGTGGGACGCACGATAGACATCGTCGTCTGCGACGGTCGGACTGACGCGTATCGTAGGTTTTTATCACTTATGAACACTCCCGGTGGCGGGATGCCGGAGGAGTTACGGGTGCTGTTCTTCGAAAAATTACTGCATATATTAGCCAGCACTACTAATTATTTTACAAGTAGCATGGTCTAATCCTTAGAATACATCACCCTAATGTTGTTGTTCTAGAGGAAGGCTGATGCCCTCAAATATTTCTTGGAGAATGGGGCCGCATGGGGCACGTTTTGAAAGCCCCTTCCTCACTCTGTTCGGTTGGCCCATCAGTCCATATGGGCGGGGTGAACATTTTGCCACTAGGGTTTTCGCCAAAATTCATGCAATTTACATTAGTGCAACAATCCATTGGTTCGCCGACAATATGCCGTCATAATCGACAACGAATAGTGGCAGTGGTTGAAGGTTGCGTCTTCAGCCCCAACGGGGATTTCGTTGGCATGTGTGTCGAATATGGGAGAGCAGACGCGAGAGTCCCCAATTTCCGACAACTCAAAGGTTCCCGAATCATTATTCAGGGAGAACGAATTGGGCTGGACAAGCAGCGAATTAACAGAGGGCGTGAGACGAACAGAAAGGATACATGAGTAAGTAGTCACGCTGGCGGTCTCGGGGAGGGGACTGTCAGATGTGTGTAATGGTCTTCGTGGGAGGTTTTCGAGATGGTGATATACCGTAGGTAGTTTTAATCCCATGACTTTCACTCGTTCTGCAATCCATTGTCTTCTGCCTGAAGACCACTTTGGTCGCATTTATGCTTGGAGGCCATTATATTTAATTCACCGGTGAGGGCTACTTGCATGGAAACCAGTCAATGACCGGATGATGTACGTGCGACTGAAGGGTATCTTTACCAACATCTCCGTTGTCCCAGGGTTTGCACCAAAATCAGCTTCCGAATGGTCGGACCGGACCCGGCCACTCTCCAAACAGTCACTTTATTGGCTGTTCTCGGTTTGACTCTTGACGCACCAGTAGTGAGGGAACGCGGAAATTCGCCGATCAGAACCAACTGTTTGTCTCCATCACGTACTTCCCGGCTCGCCACAAATACCTGATTACCTGATTGCAAACGATGGCCATGCGGTCAGTCAGATCGACCGCATTACAGTTAGTTCGAGGTTGTGCGGCTAGGTTCACGGTGGCAGACCAATGTGTCGTGGCGGAACTGGTATCGCCCGTGAGTCAGGCAATGTTCTAGTTCGCATACGACGGAAGGTTTATTTTTCACCAACACCCAAAATGCCACGCGCGAGGCGCGTTCGTGTCGCAAAACCTCGACAATCAGGCACCGCTGTTGGCCTAAATAGAGAAATCTGGTTCATTTTTATGACCCAAACTAACGGAGAAGGGAGCAGCCAATGGTCACCATTGAAGTTATCAGTCTAAGGGGCAGTTAAGAGAATTCCTGGATTCACCCAGCGACAGCATTGACTAGAGCAGCAGAAGAACCTTGCAATTATCTGTTCAGACAGTTTGAAATAGTTCCTGCAACGATGATCTCGGCGTGACTGACTTAAATGGCCCCCTCAACAGGACACGATACCAAGAACTGCCTGCAATACGGGTGACTTTAAGACAACTTCCAGTGGAATTAGGGTCAGGTTTGAGGTTACGTTAGGATCAAGTCAAGGATTAGATTTAAGGCTAGATTTAAAGTTTAGGGTAAGTCAGGATTGAGTTTAGGGTTAGGGCAAGCACTAGTATTAACTTCAGAATTAAGGTTTAGGGTATGGATAGGGTTAACATTGGGGCAACAGTTTAGTTTTATATTAGGGTTATTTTTGGGGCTAGGACATAAGAATATTTTGTCCCTACCAGAATTATGCGCAGATCCTTTGCATGGGAGTTTTAGTCCTCTCCAGTTTATTCAGTGTCACGCAACCCTCTTCGCGGGGAAGTCGCCGGTGCAATACCGAGCCTGCACAGCGACAAGGCGCCCAGAGAGGATAATATTCCCCTAGATCTACAAATATTGTGTCGACACTCACGCCCTGGCTCCATGAGGTGATTGAGTAAGCGTGGGATAATGGGGTCGCCCCTGATGACTGTGAATCACACGTCTTGGTGTCTGTCTTAGAGAAGGGAGATTAGACAATCGTGAGAACTACCGCGGTACACATTTCCTTGACGTTGCTGCGAAGGTCTTCGATGCTGTCCTTATCAAACGATTTCAGGGTGTGCGTGACTCTAGGACGAGGTCCAACAAACCGGGTCCCGAGCCGTCTGTGGATGTGTGAACCAGATATTCACACTGCAACGCATTCGTACATTTCCCATGGCAACCAGCGATCGATGGCCGTCAGTTTTGGTGACTTCGTCTCTATGTTTGGTTCCGCGGAAACATCGTGAGTTCCTGTGGCGGATGATGCAACTGGATGGTACGCCTGCAAAAATAGTCGCCATGATCAAAGCCCACCACCGTTCCTCTACTGCGCGACCTCTGGTTCGCAACAATCTGTTACAACCGTTCCATATTCGGTCTGGCGTCCGACAAGGGTATATCCGGTCGCCATTCTGTTCGACTGCATCATTAACTGGATTTTTCAGAACGGCTCCACACGAAGTTGACGGTGTCGAGTTTGAAACCCGCACATCATCTGAGTGGTCCCAACTACGCTGACGACATCGCCTTGCTAGCCTCGAGTTTTGGTGGTATACAGTTTGCAGTGTCATGGGCGAACAAGTTGCTCGATCCGTAAGTTTACCCATGAAGGCTTGGGAAGACCATAATGCTTTCAAGCTGTATACCTGACCAGGAGAAAGCACTCCTCGGAATTAGTGGCTGTCAACCTGAAGAGGCGGACAATTTCAAATACCCCTGGACGAGGCTGTTGCCGAATGGACAAAGTACCGAATCGACGCAGCCTGCGGGCTTCCACAATTCTTAGAATGTGTCTTTGGACCCGACGCCACATCTCCATCACCATGAAGATCCGCGTGTACCGTGCATATGTTTGACCAGTCCTCCTCTAGGGTTGCGAATGCTGGATTGTGTGCGTGGGAGATGAGCGAAAACTGTAGATATTTGACGACCGCTGCCTTAAGGCTATCCTTCGAGGAAAGCAGGTCGACTTCTCTTCAAATCGGGTAGTACGCACTCGTTGCGACAACATCACGATGGTATCCCAGGTCATCCGAGGAATACGACCGAGGTGGCATGAGGGCGTTCCTCGTCGTCCGCCTCATGAGCCTTAGACATGACTGCTTGGCCAGCCTCAAAACGTCAAAGGAAAGGCCAAATTAAAATCAGGGTGCACACAATTCGTCAGGGCAGAGGTGCCCTGCCAACACATGGCCCCGGGGGCCAGACGGGGCTAGGCCCCGTCCAAATTTCCATCCTTTCTAATCACGTCATTCTGCATTAATTTGGACTGTTTGAGCTTTATTATCGTGAAATATAAGCCTTTTAACTTGTTTAATGTGGTTTCAGTCGTATAACATCCAGAGAAATTCATGTTTCACGAAGGCCAATATTGGCCTTGTTTAAGTCGGTCATGTACCTACCCACGTGGACGACACTTTTACGCTGACAGTGTGCACACCTGATCCATCCAGCTGCTTGACTCCTGATTCTTCCTTGGCTCTTTTTGACTGCAGTACGTTATTCATTTACTTATTTATTTCGTCTATGCGATGCAATATGTCATTGTACTAAGTAAATGCTTTATTTTAGTCTCCAGAATCGTAATTTAAGTTATTTATAAGAATGGCACGTAATCTGACGGCTTGAGTGTACTATATAGCGGTCTAATATACGTTAATGGTATTTATATGTTAATTCTAAGCAAATATGGAAAGAAAATACTGGGGACTTCATCGCAGTACAATGCACAACATGACTAAGCGGGCGAAGATGGCGTACTATGCCGCCACCGATGACCCCTCGCTCCCATCTACGTCATCCCTCGTAACGGAGTCGTCCCCCGAACCATCGATGCCGCACCTTAGCCCTGAGGTAAGCATTGGTAGGTGTTATATGGTATGCTATAAGGCGATGTAGACGATGACCAGGTTGCAGATGACAGCTCGAACCCGTTCAGTGGCAATTGCTTCTTGACAGATTTGAGGAAATTCTGCTTAAGTGTCCAACTACCGCAGGCAACATTCAAGTTGTTGTTCCAAATGTTGCGTAAATACCACCCAGAGGTGCCCAAGGACCCGCGAACTCTCATGCAGACACCGCGAGCTTGCGTTACTGAGTCCCTCTCTAACGGCAGCTACGTCCACCTGGGCCTTAAACGCGGTCTGTTAGATGAGCTTCAACTTCGACCGTCGGCTTTGTTCCCGAAAATACGGGTTCAACTCCACATTGACGGAATGAAGCTATTTAAAGGGTCTGGCCAGTGTCTATGGCCAATCCTCGGTCGAGTCAGCTATCCTGTCCGTGGACTGCCGTTTGTTGTTGGAGTGTTCTCTGGTTCCGGCAAGCCTGAGCCTTTGGATGTATTTCTTGGCCAGTGCATCTCAGAACTGAAGGATATTCTGACCAGCGGACTTCAGGTCCCGGATACGGACGCTGTAGTTAGAGTTGAGCTGGCCAACGTCATCTGCGACACACCTGCTCGGTCCTACGTCCGGCAAGTAAAAGCGCATAATGGCTATTAGGGCTGCGACAGGTAATTGCTATAATCGACGAAAATGTAATCCTCCTAAGTGTTGTCATATGGGTAGGTCCGTGGCAAACCGCATGATCTTCCCCGTACACAGCGGGCGTCTGCGGGATGACAGGTCATTCCGCACGAGAAGTCAGGAGCAGCACCATAAAGGCACCTCACCTTTCGAGGACTTGCCTATTGATATGGTTGCTACGTTTCCAATTGACTACATGCACCTCGTTTGTCTTGCGGAAGCTCCTACATATGTGGCGGCTCGCAACGGGGAAACAGTCAATTACTGTTACTGCGTCCATTAAACAATGCAGTCAATGTCTGCCTGCTGAATTTTCCCGCAAGTGCAGACCTCTTGACTGTCTTGAATACTGGAAGGCTGCAGAATACCGGCAGTACATCGGTCCTGTAGTCCTAGCTAACTATCTTGATTCCTCCCATTATGAACATTTCCTTCTTTTGTTTGTTGCCGTTTTTATATTTTCCCATCCCATTTTGCATAAATCCCTCATTGATTTTGGACGTATGCTATTAGATAAATTTGTTTCTGATTTCCCAATATTGTACAGTCCTGCAGATCTTGTTTGTAATGTTCATAGTTTAGTCCACCTCCATGAGGACGTTAGTTGTTTTGAGTTTTGGACAATTTTTCTGTCTTCCCTTTCGAATCTTTTTTACAAACCCTTATCGGTACCATCAAGGGTCCCAGTAATGTAGCCGCACAGGTGTACAAACGTTATTCTGAGAGACGTTTGCCTGAGTTGCCAACTAGCTCACTGCTGTTGGACGACGATGAGGGGGTACCACGGTCGTTTCAGTTGCCGCGCAGGTCGACCGCTATTCTTCACAATGGCTACGTGCTGTCCACTGAGGCGCCTGATAACGTCGTGCTTATTGGTGAGCGACCGTGCGTACTGACATCTGTGTCGGTTTCCGAACTAACATACCGCCCCTTCGAGGACTGCGTCGACCTTTTTACCACTTCTGTTTCTTCTTCCCGTTTGTTTATTTTCAAAGCCTCCCGTTTTTCCAGTAGCACCAACACTGCCTCCCTTACTGACATTACTTGTAAATATGTTTGTTTCAATGTTGACGATTTGTTTTACTTAATCCCCCTGTTGCACACCTTCCATCTACAATGACTTAATTTCCACGTCCATCCCCCATCAACAAAACCTCTCTGCAGATGTATTCAGTTGTCCAGTTTGTGTGCGATGACTCATTGGCCGTTGTTGCCAACTCGTGGTTGGTTGGGGATAACTTAGTTGCCTGGCCAAAGGACCGGGAATTGCAGCGTCTGTTGGAGGCCGATCGACGGCCAACGGACGGCGCAAGGCTGTATGAAGTTAAAGTACTCAAGGACGGCCTCGATCTCGATAAGGCGCGCCGGATAGCCCAAAAGGCCGAACATACGGATCACCTGTCATCGTCAGAGCCGGAAAGATTAGGAAGAGGCATGCGGACAAAGTACGTTGCCAAAACACTACTTATTTTTTCATAGATTTCCCCGAAGACTAACTTCCGATTCGGAAGAGGACGACAAAATACAGGAGATACGGAAGCACACAGACCGACGGCTAGGCCCGTGGCCCGCACCTCCGGCTGTACTCCGGTAGGTCTCATTGGCTTATCCGAACTTCAGGCCCACAAACGATAATGTTCCGGCTACCTCCTATTCTCCACGAAGAGAAGGAGAAAGAACAAGTTATCAGTAATCATGCCTTATTACATTGTCGCTTTAGGTTGCCGGACGGGGAGAACTTGGCGCCTGAAATACGAAACTTGCTGAAAGAAATGAAGCAAGAGTTGGCATGTCAAAGGTAAACCGATTAAAACCCGTTAATATCGTATAGGAAAAAATTGGACTTCATTTTAGAGGAAATGGTCTGGGTGAAGACCCATATACAAAATATCGAAGCTAAGCAAGCCGACAATCGTCGAGCGTTGCAAGCAGTCAGCTTTGTTTCCAAAGTGAAGCCTCCCCTTCTACAACTGCCTTTGCGGACTGCCGAGGCGTATAAAGACTTTCTGACGAAAATTGGATCGGACAATGAGCTAGCGCAGGAAACGGTATGTAAACAAGCTTGGACACTCATTACTGCTTATAGGTAAAGCCGTTTAGTAATACAAAATTATTACTTAATTTACTATTATGAAGAATTGTTTATTAATGTTTTTTTTATAGGAGCCTGCCGTGGATGAAAACTTCCGGCAACACAACGATGCCGTGTAATTGATTAACCAGAACAAATTCGTATCCCATATGTCCCTTGTACATAATACTCCATTTTTTTAAGATTTTATTTGCTTAATAAACTACCATATACCAATATTTGCTGTCCATTGTCTTCGTTTATGCAGACCTCGGGACATGTTCGCGTTTTCGGCGCTATCACTATATGTAGAGGGTGGGCAAGACCTAACAAAGGTAAGGCTTATGGGTGTTCATCGATCAGAAGTAGAATAGTTAATCGTGCTGTGCGTAGAACTAGGAAAGGGATAATACTGGTAACGTAAGTGGGGGGTTAATATTACGGAGAGCGTGGCGTCCCCCTGCGCGTTTTTTTCGAGGACGGGGCTATCGCGTCCCTAGCCCCGCCCAAACGGGGCTGGTGCTAGCAGGGTGGTTATTCAGCCCCTGCCGCTGGAGAAGCTAATGGGTGGGGCCGTCCAGATCGTCAAGCGTGCGAAGTTGAAATGCACGACATCATAGAAGCCGGCCAGATCAGTCGTGACCATAGCAGTGTCAAGGACAATAGTGGTTTCACTCAATGTATTGAGTGAGGGCAGGGTAAGCACATACTCTTAACGCGTACTCGGCTGCGAGCGATGCCACATCGGCGGTTAGGATGTGGAGAAGGTACTCTACGACAGCATCACATACATGAAACTGGTGTGAGCGTCCCATACCATTGAATATGGTAGTTGTTGCGTGCGGTCTGGCGTCATCTTTCAAGACCTCGCTGCCTCAAGGTCACTCGCCCCTTGCAGGGAGCCGTTCCAGACGCGCTGACCTGAAGGCACCTGACCGACTTCAGTTCGGACACAGTTTGGACACTAACCCTCGGCAAATGCAGCACACACCGATTGGAGACCACTTGAGCTTGGCCCATGGGCCTACAAAAGCGGCTGCCACCACTATCTCAGGGACTCTCAGGCATGATTGGACGCAGTCAACACCAGCCCTGTTTTCGCCAGTGGCCACTGCCGCCTGAGAGGACAACTCCGGGTTCTGTGCACAATAAACCTCTCATTCAGGTGCCTTCTGTCTTCTCCTACCAACATTAGTCTTTGCCCTGATTACGATAGCGCTCAGACTACACTGACAGTTCGAACATCGGTTTCGATGATGTCCACCGTGTGCCCCACAGTTGCAGCAGCAATGGGAGCAGGGACGGTGACTTACGCAGGGGTTTATAGTGCCGGTAGACATGCGTAGCATCTACCTACACTCTCTCCTCCCCCGCCCGAGCCCGGTGTCAAGACAGTGTCAAGAAGACCGGAGACGAGAGAGGCCGCAGGTGGATGGCTCGGACGGATCCTCACCTTGGCGTTCCACCACACCCCCTGGTCCATGCAACAAATAACCAGGATTTCAACCAACACAAGAGAGATTTGGAGGCTGGCACAGCCGAAGCCGCACCTGGGCGTGCCGCCAACGCCTGGCTCGGATCCCACACTGTTATGGGAGTGCCATAAAGGCCACATTAAAAAGGAGCCATTGCAGCCTGACTCTCAGACCGCCTCCGGTCATGGAGGAGGTCCAAGGTACCCCGTCAGTTGGCAACCTTCCAAGCCACGGCTTTTAGCGCACCGTGATAGCTTC